TCTGCTAAATAAGCAGTTTTAATGTGTGTACTCATGGTAGATCCTTCACACATGTCAAAAGCTTTTGACATCTAAACACTTGAAATTTTTCATTTACTTTCTGTTAACTGTTTTAACATTAACAAAATATTTCTAAGCTAAAGTATCATACAAAAATCGGCCATCTTCTAAATTCCCCAGAAGTAATCCAGTTATTATACTCATAATCAACTCTTTTAAATATGTATTAAATGCAGTGGTTAAGAAAACAGGCTCTGGAGTTAGCTATCTTGGGATGAAACTCAAGTACACTACCAGAATGATCCTAGGGAAATCATTTAACCTAAGGTTCAGCTTCCTTATATGCAAAATGGGCAAATTACCAACTTCACAGGGCCATTGTGAGCATTACATAACCCATGGAAAATAATAAACCAAGATAGCACCTAAACGTTTAAGAAATGACACTATTATTAGTGACTAACTAGTAAATGCAAGGCATTGTATTAGCACTAGGAACGCAAAGATAAAGACAAATAAAACAAGATTTCCATCCTCAAAGAGCTTATGTTCTAATGAGACTTACTTAAATTAACACAGTCTTGTAAATTGCCATATTTTTCCTTGCAAATACTACTGGATCTTGCACTGCTATTACTAAGGGTGCCTAAGGGCAAGAAAACAAGAATTATTTAGCAGAGGTTGTGGAAAAATAAGAAAACTCATCCATCCCTGGTGGGAATGTAAGATGGAACAGCCATTGTGAAAAACAGTTTGGAAGTTCCTCAAAAAGCTGAACATAGAACTACCATATAACCCAGTAATTCCAATCCCAGTAAGGATCAGAATTTTTAATTCTCATGGAATCCCTACTTCTGGATTCCATGGAGGTTGAAATGACCCACCCAGGCTATCCTCCTGAGATAATCTTTGGACCTTGAGCCTTGAGAAAACTGATTTCCTGAGGGTTGTCTTTAGGTTGAATAAAGTTGTTGTTGTTAGATGCCATCTCTCATAGGGACCCTATGTACAACAGAACAAAATACTGCCTGGTCCTGCGCCATCCTCACAATCATTGCTATGTCTGAGCCCACTGTAGCAGCCAAGGTGTCAACCCATCTCGTTGAGGATCTTCCTCTTTTTCCTTGACACTATACTTTACCAAGCATGATGTCCTTCTCCAGGGACTGGTCCCTCCTGATAACATGCCCAAAGTATGTGAGACGTAGTCTCACCATCCTTGCTTCTAAGGAACATTCCGGTGGTACATTTTCCAAGACAGACTTGTTTGTTCTGCTGGCAATCCATGGTATATTCAATATTATCTGGCAACACCATCATTCAAAGGCATCAATTCTTCTTAGGTCTTCCTTATTCAAGGTCAAACTAACAAGGTCTTCCTTATTCTTCACTTAATTGGCAAAGAACGTTTTGCCTTGGGCATTGTGTTCTTTTAAAGAATTATCTGTGTGCAGTTTCAACAAACACAAACTCCAAAGATCAGACTAGAAGCTCTGTCTTAGGGTCAATCAGCAATTACTTTAATTGTTCCTCAAGACTGTACCATATGGAAGCTGGCATGACCACAAATTGTTTCATCAATTCTATTCTGACCTTTTCTCCATGGCAAGCTATAATTACTAGCCAAGGAGTCAAATAAAATGGAACACAAAAATCTTAAAAAAAAAATTTAGGCTATGACATACTTGACAAGGGTCTAATCTCTAAAATGTATAAAATAGTTCAACACCACAACAACAAAAAGACAAATAATCCAATTAAAAAATAGGCAAGGGCTATGAACAGACACTTCACCAAAGAAGACATTCAGGTGGCTAACAGACACATGAGGAAATGATCACGATCATTAGCCATTAGAGAAATGCAAATCAAAACTACAATGAGATACCATCTCACTCTGACATTACTGGCACAAATCCTAAAAACAGAAAATAACAAATGTTGGAGAGGTTGGGGGGAGATTGGACCTCTTATGCACTGCTGGTGGGAATGTAAAACAGTACATCCGCTATGGAAAATGATATGGTGCCTCTTTAAAAGGCTAGAAATAGAAATACCATATGATCCAGCAATCCCACTCCTAGGAATATATCCTAGAGAAATAGGAGCCGTCACACGAATAGACATATGCACACCCATGTTCATTGTAGCATTATTCACAATAGTAAAAAGATGGAAACAACCTAAGTACCCATCAACAGATGAATGGATAAACAGATTATGATACGTACACACAACAGAATACCATGCAGCAACAAAGAACAATGATGAATCCACGAAACATCTCACAACATGGATGAATCTGGAGGGCATTGTGCTGAGTGAAATAAATCAATCACAAAAGGACAAATATTGTATGAGACCACTATGATAAAAACCCAAGAAAAGGTTTACACACAGAAAACAAAAACAAAAAAACAATCTTTAATGGTCACGAGGGAGGGAAGGGGTGGAGAGGGGAAATCACTAACAAGACAGTAGACAAATGGTAACTTTGGTGACGGAAAAGATAACACACAATATAGGGAAGTCAGCACAACCTGACCAAGGCAAAGCCATAGAGGTTTTCTAAACATATCCAAACACCTTGAGAGACAGAGTTACTAGGGCTGAGGGCTAGGGACCAAGGTTCCAGGGGACATCTAGGTCAACTGTCATAACATAATTCATAAAGAAAATGTTCTACATCCTACTTTGGTGAGCTGTGTCTGGGGTCTTAAAAAGCTTGCAAATGGCCATCTAAAATACATCTATCGGTCCCATCACATTCAGAGCAAAAGAGAATGAAGAAAACTAAAGATACAAGGAAAATATAAGTCCAAAGGACTAATGGGCCACATGAACCACAGCTTCCACAAGCCTGAGCCCAGAAGAACTTGATGGTGCCACGCTACCACCACTGACCACTGTGACAGGGATAACAATAGAGAGTCCCAGACAGGAGAAAAATGTAGAACACAATTCAAATTCACAAAAAAAGACCAGATTTACTGGTCTGACAGAAACCGGAGGAACCCCCAAGACTACAGCACCCAGACACCCTGCTAACTCAGAACTGATGCCACTCCTGAAGTCCACCTTTCAACCAAAGATTAGACAGGCCTATAAAACAAACAATAACATGCACAAGGAACGTGTTTCTTAGTTCAATCAAGTATATGAGACTAAATGGGCAACACCTGCCCAAAAGCAAAGCTAAGAAGGCAGGAAGGGACAGGAAATCTGGACAAATGGACACAGAACCAGGCGGGGAAAGGGGGAGAGTGCTGACACACTGCAGCGATTGCAATCAATGTCACAAAACAATTTGTGTATAAATTTTTGAATGAGAAACTAATTTGGGCTGTAAACGTTCACCTAGAACACATTAAAATAAAATTTAAAAATCTTTGAAAGATCTTTCTTCTTTGGAACATTTTTGACTCTCTGGTCAGAAGTGTTGCCCCAATTTGCAAACTGTATATTAAATAAACCTCAATCAATTTCTATTATTGGCTTAATATTATTTTTGTTTTAACACTAGGTATATACCCAGAGGAAGTAAAAGCAGGAACACTAACAGAAACCTGTATACCAACATTCACTGCAGTATTTTTCACAACAGCCAAAAGGTGGAAACAACCAAAATGTCCATCAACAGACAACTGGATAAACGAAATGTAGTACATATACACATCGGTATACTACTCAGCAATAAAGAGAAATGAAGTCCTGATGCATGCCACAACATGAATGAACCCTGAAAACAGGGTGAGTGAAATAAATCAGTCTCAAAAGGACAAATATTATATGATCTCATTTACATGACATAAGCAAATATATAGAAACCAAAACTTATTAGCAGTTACCAGGGGTGGGAGGGAGGTGGAGAGGGGAAGATTCTGCTTAGGAGGCAGTGAGTTTTTGTTAATGAAAGTGGAATAATCTGGAAAAGGATAGTGAGAATGGGTGCACAACTTGAATGTAATCAATGTCACTGGATTATACATGTAGAAATTGTTGAACTAGTGTATGTTTTATTTTGTATATTTTCACCACAATAAAAAAATTAAGGAAAAAAAAAAGAGAGAGAGAGAGAGAACAAGAATTGGTCACAGAATGGATACTAGTGGGGAGGGGGGATCTGGCAGAAATGCCAGCCTAGAGCCTGTGCAGGAAATCTGTAATAGCATTTAGTACTACAGCATTAACAGTCAAATTTGAACATCCTCATGCCTCTCAGCTGAGAGACAAGTATTAGCTTTTAGTAGAAAAAGTAACATCTCACCTCAGTCCTGGAGAAAATCACAACTATTTTTAGGTGTAACTTTGAGAAACGGATGAAAGCTCTCTGTGCTCAAGTCAGCTCCTCTAAGACTCTGCAGTTACCACAGGATATCAATGACCGCACACACTGGTAGGGCCCTCTCTTGCGTTCTGGCCTCTACTGTATCTGGTTTCATAAGGTACTGTTACCATCTGTTTATTCCTGCCTCCTCCACTAGACCGTGAGCCGTTTTATTCCTCTTCACATCCCTCACACCTAGCAAGTGACTAGTACCAAGTAGGTGTCCAACAGATGTCTGTTGAAAATTACTAATTGGTGCCAGGCACTGTACCAGGCACTAGAGATAAAAACATTAAAAACACAGCCCCTGCCAAGGAATCAGTATCTAGTGAGGAGACAGAGAGTCGGAAATTCAAACATGAGAAGTACTCTAAAGGAAGAGTAAGCCACCAGGTATAGAAGGAAGGGATGGGAAGGAATATCTAGGTAGTGTGTTGCCCAACTAAATGGGGAAAAGCAGAAGAGCCTCAGTCATAAACTGGAAATAGACTCTATAAAAGTATACAGGATATATGGCATGAGGAAAAAAATTTAAAAGAGAACAAAGAAAACACTGGCGGAGTAGGTAAATAAATGCAAGTCGAATTTAAAAAGGAACACTAAAAATATAATCATTAAAAATAACTAAATTCCCCCAAATCAAATATTTCTAGTTTATCATAAAAGTTCTTACCTTCCTGAAATTCCTTTTGTTGACGCTGGAATCTCTGGTACAGGCCGATGTCTTAGCAGGAAAGATCGGGATGGTCTTGAAACCAACTTGCTACGACTTTTCACAGGTGCTAAGTTTGGTGATGATGGAACATACAAATCATTTACAACCATTTCTCCTTGAAACTGAAAGAAAGGGGTTGGTGGTGACTCTGCTAATAAACCATTAGTTCCATTTCCAGAACTTGCTTCCAGTATTGAACAGCCAAGGGAAGACAGGCAATTAGGATCTGAATTAGGAAGCTTGCTAAGATTTTCTGACATCAAATCAACTTTTTCTGTTTGTTCTTCTTTGATGGTACAATCCACAGTCTTCTTTGTAATCAGAGATTCTGTTTTAAAATTTTCACCACCAAGAAAAGAATCTTGAAAAGAATTCAAATTCCGGTGTGGTTCTTTTCCTGGAATGGGGAAGTTGTGCGCAGGAAGAGACAACTTATCTAATTTAAGAGACTGGCTACTTCTGTCTACACTAACATCATTTTGATCAAGATTCTTTGTAACAGTCTCCAAGTGCACTGGGCTGGTAGTTTGAGCACTGCCAGAATCTGAAAGTTCTATCCAGGAATTCTGCTCAGAAGACAGAGCATGGCTATCCTTTGAAGTCTCATCATTCTTTGTTTTATGAACATTTGCGTATATCGGGGTATCTTGCATTTTTGATAAGATTATCTGTAATTTCTTAAGTATTCTCCTACGGTGTCCTGTAGGTGATATTCCAATTTTGTGTAGCAGGCTGTCATTTATTGCTGCACAGTCCTTTACAGTATTAAGACCAAAGTCACGAAAATGTGAGAGATACTGCTCCAAATTAATGCTCATTAGGAAATCTTTGATATCAACATTTATTTCACTGACTGAGGTCATAATGGTGGCTTCATTACCAAGTTTAATTATTAAAAACAGTACAATGAGATACACACAAAAGAATGTACTTCGAAGTATTGGTTCTCCCTCTATCATCTGCAACAGAAAAATTTCTCAAATGTTGTTTTCTCCATAGTAACCGTTTTACACGCAGAAGCCTGGAAAAAAAAAATAGATGTAATTTATTACTACATTTTAATTATTAAAATCTAGATTTACATTATAAACTTTCTCTGAAGAAACACAGTAGAAATTAGGATAATAACTTCCATTCACTAAAATCTTGGAACCTTGGTGCATTGCTTTGTATGCCCTAGAATGCCAAACCTAGGTGTAGTGTTGAGGTGCAGAACAGAAATAGTAATGTAGTGTCAAAATATGAATTTCAAAAAGGCAAAAAAAATGGCTCTCATACTAATATAGAATGGACATTGGTCAAAAATTCAACTTATTAATTAATGAGGGAACCAGTAAGGTGGCAAAGCTGGTTCCAAGAGCATTTGTGGAACAAGTTTATACAGACAGGCCTCGATATCCACAAGGGATTGGTTCCCAGACCCCCTGCAGATCCCAAAATCTGAGGATGCTCAAGTCCCTTATATAAAATGGTGTAGTATTTGCATATAACCTACTCACACTCTCTCATTACTTCAAATCATCTCTAGATTGCTTATACCTAATACAATGCAAATACTATGTAAATAGTTGTTAATGCTTATGCTTAATACTTAACGCTTTCTCAGTCTTTGCAAGCACTTTATCAGGAACCAGAGAGATCATTTTTGCCTTTTTAAGGGCAACACTAACACTTCCATGAATTTCAGCTTCCTTCTGCTTTATCATGCAAATGCTCAATTCATTCTTACTGACCTTACAGCCAACTTCTACAGGTGACATGCCACTTTCCAAAATACCTAAGATTTTAATTTTCTTGTCAAGATAGCACTTTATACTCCCTCTCAGCCTTTGAGTGACTGCTTTGACCACTTAATTGCTTTTTAGGAGCCATTTTTTCACAGAAACAAAGGGTGCACACAACACAAGCAGCAAATGAATCAAGGCGAAGTTGTTCAAACAATGAGTGCTGGAGAGACTGAGGATCTGTGAAATGGTACGAGGCCTCAGCAGAAGATGCCTACATACCACTTCATTCGTGAGGATTCAGCATAGTGCTCTGCACAGGGCAAATTCAAGTTTTGCTTTTTGGAACTTTTTTTTTTTTCCTCCAAATATTTTCAATTCGCAGTTAGCTGAATCCAGGGATGAGGAACCCACAAGCTATGGAGGGCCAACTGTACAGCCCAACAGGAAAGTCATTTTAAAAACAATATAAGGAAAAAACAGTATTAGAATAAGACTACTAGATTAGATTTAAAAAACTAGTTAATGTCCCACAGGACATAAACCAAAAACTTTGGGGTTACTTTTTCCACTGGGCAAAAATCAACAAGATATGTAACTTTATAGCATCTAGGTTCTAACCAAATAGTAAATAGCAAGGTCAAACACAGGAATTAGACTTAAAATTAAATATCCCTAGGGTAGGCCTGTTAAACAATACCCCCAATATGGCATTAAAAGAACATGTTGTGCATTGTTTTGATTTTCAAGTTTTAGATAATTTTTCTTAACAGTAGCTAAATATTTTACCCTTTTACTACACTTCCTTTCAAAGACAGTTAAAAAGTAGTTAGTATATATTTCTCTGGAGTCCCTGGGAGGCATAAACAGTTATATGCTTAACTACAAGCCAAAAGGTTGGCAGTCTGAACCAGCCAGAGGCGTCTGGGAAGACAGACTTGGCAATCTGCTTCCCGAAGGTCACAGCCTTAAAAATCTTATGGAGCAGTTCTACTTTGCACACATGGGGTCACCTTGAGTTGGAAAGGACTCACTCAATGGCAACAAACAACAACAATATATATATTTCTCTTGTGAATAGTTTTCACTGGAAAAAAGCAGCAGCCTTATATGTAAATATATAATACTAATATACAAGATCCTTCTTCTTGTCTTAGTCTGCAAGGTCCGCTGAAACCTGTACAACCTGTACACCATGGGTGACCCTTCTGGTGTTTGAAATACTGGTCACATAGCTTCCAGAATCACAGCAACACGCAAGCCACCACAGTACAACAAACTGACAGACCAGGAAGAAAAGACATGGCAATCTACTTCTAAAAGACAAAAATTGGCCAGTGAAAACCTTATGAATAACAGCGGAACAGTGTCTGATATAGTGACAGAAGATGAGCCCCTCAGGTAGGAAGCATTCAAAACATGACTGGAGAAGAGCTGCCTCCTCAAAGCAGAGTCGACCTTAATGATGTGGATAGAGTAAAGCTTTTGGGACCTTCATTTGCTGACATGGCATGACTCAAAATGACAAGAAACAGCTGCAAAGATCCATGGATAATTGGAGTGTGGAATGTACCAAGTATAAATCTAGGAAAACTGGTAGTAGACAAAAATGAAATGGAACACATAAAGATCAATATCCTAAGCATTAGTGAGCTGAAATAAGACTGTGACTGCTGTTGTCCATTCTGAACTGAACAATCATAAGGTCTACTATGCCGGGAATGACAACTTGAAGAAGAACGGTGTTACATTCATTGTCAAAAAGAACATTTCAAGATATATCCTGAAGTACAACGCTGTCAGTGATAGGATAATATCCATACATCTACAAAGAAGATCAGGTAATAAGACTATTATTCAAATTTACGCATCAACCACTAAGGCCAAAGATGAAGAAACTGAAGATTTTCACCAACTTCTGCAGTCTGAAATTCATCAAACATGCAACCAAGATGCACTGATACAGTAGATAAGAATTAGATTAAGGGAAGGACAACACACAATACAGGGGAAGTCAGCACAACTGGACTAAACCAAAAGCTAAGAAGTTTCCTGAATAGAATCAAACACTTTGAGGGACAGAGTAGCAGGGGCAGGGATCTGAGGACCATAGTTTCAGGGGACATCTCAGTCAACTGGCATAACAAAGTTTGTTAAGAAAATGTTCTGCATCCTATTTTGGTGAGAGGCATCTGGGGTCTTAAAAGCTAGCGAGCGGACATCTAAGATGCATCAATTGGTCCCAACACACCTGGAGTAAAGGAGAATGAAGAACACCAAAGACACAAGGAAAATATTAGCCCAAGAGACAGAAAGGGCCACACAAACCAGAGACTCCAACAGCGTGAGACCACAAGAACTAGATGGTGCCCGGCTACCACCAATGACAGCCCTGACAGGGAACACAACAGAGAGTCCCTGATAGAGCAGGAGAAAAGTGGGGTACAGAATTCAAATTCTAGTAAAAAGACCAGACTTAATGGTCTAACTGAGACTGGAGGGACCCCGGGAGACATGGCCCCCGGACTCTCTGTTAGCCCAGAACTGAAACCATTCCTGAAGCCAACTCTTCAGACACAGATTAGGCTGGACTATAAGAGATAAAATGACACTCATGAAGAGTGTGCTTCTTAGCTCAAGTAGATATGTAAGACTAAATGGGCAGCTCCTGTCTGGAGGCGAGATGAGAAGGCAAAAAGGGACAGGAGCTGGTTGAATGGACACAGGAAATCCAGGGTGGAAAGGAGGAGTGTGTTGTCACATTATAGGAAAAGCAACTCAGGTCAAATAACAATGGGTGTATAATTTTGTATGAGAAACTAACGTGAACTGTAAACTTTTGCTTAAAGCACAATCTAAAACAAAAAAGAAAAGAAAAAAAGATGCACTGACAATTACTGGTAACTGGAATGCAAAAGTTGGAAATAAAGAAGGATCAGTAATTGGAAAATATGGCCTTGGTGACAGAAACAATGCAGGAGATCACATGATAGAATTTTACAAGACCAATGACTTCTTCATTGCCAACACTTTTCTTCAATAACAAACTGTGACTATCCATGTGGACTTTGCCAGATGGAATGCACAGGAAACAAACCGACTACATCTGTGGAAAGAGGCAATGGAGAAGTTCAATATCATCAGTCAGAAGAAGGCCAGGGTCTGACTGTGGAACAGACCATCAATTGCTCATATGCAAGTTCAAGCTGAAGCTGAAGAAAATTAAAACAAGTCCACAAGAGCCAAAAAATGACCTTCAGTATATCCCACCTGAATTTAAAGACCATCTAGAGAATAAATTTGACCCAGTGAACACTAATGACTGAAGATCAGGCAAGTTGTAGGATGACATCAAGGACGTCATACATGAAGAAAGCGAAAGGTCATTAAAAAGACAGGAAAGAAAGAAAAGACCAAGATGGATGTCAGAAGAGACTGAAACTTGCTCTTGAGCGTCAAGTAGCTAAAGTGAAACAAAGAAATGAAGTAAAACAACTAAACAGAAGAATTCAAAGGCTACAGGGAGAAGACAAAGTATTAAAATGAAATGTGCAGAGAGTTGGCGTTAGAAAACCAAGAGGGAAGAATACACTCAGCTTTTCTCAAAGTGAAAAAATTGAAGAAAAAATTCAAGTCTCAAGTTACAATACTGAATGATTCTCTGGGCAAAATACTGAACAACATAGGGGGCATCAAAAGAAGATGGAAGAAATACAGAGTCACTGTAACAAAAAGAATGGGTTGACGTTCAACCAATTCAGGAAGTAACATATTATCAAGAACTAAGGATATTAAAGAAAGAAGTCCAAGCTGCACTGAAACCCCTGAGGAAAAACAAGGCTCCAAGAATAGATGTAATACCAACTGAGATGTTTCAGCAAACAGATGTAATGCTGAAAACACTAATTCGTCTATGGAAAGAAATTTAGAAGACAGCTACCTGGCCAACTGACTGGAAGAGATCCATATTTGTGCCCATTCCAAAGAAAGGTGATCCAAAAGAATGTGGAAATCATCAAACAATATCATTAATATCACAACAAGTAAAATTTTGCTGAAGATAATCCAAAAACAGTTGCAGCAATACATCCACAGGGAACGGCCAGAAATGCAAGCCAGATTCAGAAGAGAATGTGGAACCAGGGATATCACTGCCAATGTCAGATAGATCTTGGCTAAAAGCAGAGAATACCAGAAAGACATTTACCTGTGTTTTATTGGATCGTAACAAATTATGAATAACACTGTGAAGAATGGGAATCCCAGAACACTTAATTGTTCTCAAGCAGAACCCGAACATAGATCAAGAGGTAGTCATTCGAACAGAATAAGAGGATACTGTGTGGCTTGAAATCAGGTAAGGGGTGTGTCAGGGTTGTATCCTTTTATCTATTTATTCAATCTGTTGAACAAATAATCTGAGAAGCTGGACTATATGAAGAAAAATGTGGCATCAGGATTGGAAGAAGACTCACCAACAATATGCAATATGCAGATGACTCAATCTTGCTTGCTGAAAGCAAAGAAGACTACTTACTAATGAAGATCAAACACCACAGCCTTCAGTATAGATTATATCTCAACATAAAGAAAACAAAAATCTTCACAACTGGATCAAAAAGTAATACCATGATAAAACGAGAAAAGACTGAAGTTGTCAAGGATTTCATTTTTACTTGAATCCACAATCAATGCCCACGGAAGCAGCAGTCAAGAAATCAAACAACGGAATGCACTGGATAAATGTGCTGAAAAAGACATCTTTTAAAGTGTTCAAAAGCAAAGATGTCACTTTGAGGACTAAGGTGTGCCTGACCCAAGCCATGGTATTTTCAATTACCCCATATGCATGTGAAAGCTCAACAATGAATAAGGAAGACCAAAGAAGAATTGATGTTTTTGAATTATGATTTGGCGAAGAATACTGAATATACATACCATGGACTGCCAGAAGAACAAAGAAGTCTGTCTTGGAAGAAGTATGGCCAGAATGCTCCTTAGAAAGGATGATAGCGAGACTTCATCTCACATACTTTGGACATATTATCAGCAGGGACCAGTCCCTGGAGAAGGACATCATGCTTGGTAGGCTAGAGGGTCAGTGAAAAAGAGGAAGGGCCTCAATGAGATGGACTGACACAGTAGCTGCAATAATGGGCTTCACAGCAAGGATTGTTACAATGGCACAGGAGCAGGCATAGTTTCGTTCTGTTGTACACAGGGTCGCTAGGAGTCAAAACTGACTTTAGGGTACCTAACAACAACACATACAAGATAAGCTAGCTAATTTTTAAATACATTACATAACAGGAAATAAACTAATGTGAAAGTAAAAGGAAAAAGTTTAAAGGTCACATTTTCCTCCAATGTACACAGCAGACTCATACAGATTCATTTTTCTCCCAAACAACATAATTAAACTTTTAAAAAGTCAGTTTTATCTGGGTACTGGTTACACAGGGGTGTTCAGTTTTTGAAAATGAATGTGTAATTTTCTGTACAGTACACTTCAATAAGAAGAAAAAAGTACAGAATATGCATAATATTCATAAGCAAAAGTAATAAAATGAGACACACCAAAAACAAGATAAATTTCTGTAAACAAGCTTCGATGCAGTGTTTCTGGAAACCACATCTTAAAAGTGTTCCAAAAGGCACAGCTCTGACTCTGCATGTTATGTGCCAATCGCTCATAAGTGGTCTCGACTATTTAAAAATGTCAGCAAACATTGACAAGCAGGTATAAATGATAAGAAAGAAAGCACGCATCTTCTTCAGGCAGCACTACAGGAGCAGAAAAATAAAAAGACAGAAAACACCTTTGTCAATGAAGTATTCCTGTGTCACACCCTAAATGCTAAAATGTCAACGGAAAAAAGAGAGACCACAACACCATATGCAAACCTGCTTCTCAGATGTGCTACTCTTTTTCTACACAATTATTCTGGAAATAAATGTACTGCCTAATTTTTTTGTACATAAATAATTATTACCAACAGAACAATAAGTGACTGGCATATAAGAGATTTAGTCAGAGCTGTGCCTTTTGGAGAATTGTTTTAATGTGTGATTTCCAGAAACATGTCATCAAAGCTTGTTCAAAGAATTTTACCTTGTTTTGGGTGCATCTTCTTTTATTCACCCACTTTAGATTTTATAAACACGTTGAAATGGTCAATCA